CGGATCCAATTCCAAGATTAAGGAACAACGCAATCATCAGCATTAACTGAAATAGATAATTAGATAATTGTACCGTTATACATAAAACGCGCACGCGAAAACGTATTCTTCGCTTGCGTACACGCATATGCGCAGTTGTAAAGGTCTTGCGCGCATGCGCAAACGCCTGTGCGCATGTCTCAACGCGGCGCATGCGCAGAAAGTTTTTAGCTTTGAGGTCTGGATTAGGGGTGTCCGAATTAATGACTTTTGACTGTACACGCTATCCATGTACACATCGACCTATTTTCACTTAAAAACATCGGAGAATTGCACAAAAATGGCATTGCGCACTTCCTTGCCTTTATCCATCTACACATCAACCTATTGTCACTTAAAAAGTCAAAGAAAATTGACAAAAATCGAATTATTCTTACTCTTGTAAAAAGCACCAAATATGTGGGCAATTCTGCACTTAAGCGACATTTTCTTCAAGATATCGTTCAAAGCTTTTTGGAAAATTTAGAAATAAGGAACCACATAATTTTTAGTTTGCATGAGTCAGGCTATTACTGTATTGTTTCACTGTTAGTTGAATATATTTTGAATTTTCATACTAATTAAATCAGCTTAAACCAGAAATGTTCGTATTGTAAGAAATGGATGTTATGAAATACTACTTTGTAATTTCTTTTAGTGTTGCTAAAAAGTGCAAATGATCTTTTTTAGTTTTTTTATGCAACAGTATATTCTAATATCTTAAGTATGTTGGTATTTTATAATTATATTATTTTCATTAGTTGTAATAATTCACGAATGCTTTCTTGTGTTGTATACAGTCAAAAGTCGTTAATTCGGACACCCATAATCCGGACCTCAAAGCTAAAAACTTTCTGCGCATGCGCCACGTTGGCACATGCGCACAGGCGTTTTACGCGTGCGCGTAAGACCTTGACTACTGCGCATATGCGTGTGCGCTAGTGCAGAATACATTTTCGCCTGCGCGTTTAATGTATAACGGACGGTGTAAGCTAAAATTATCTAATTATCTATTTCAGTTAATGTTAATGATTGCGTTGTTCCTTAATCTTCGAATTGGATCCCGCTTATTATTTTTTGCAGACTGTAAAAGCAATTTTATAAAAGTAAACTTGAACTTTCGATTATGTCAAATAGAATTTCCGATGCTGGAATTCCAAAGGATCTACAAAACGAAAGTATGTTTCGATGTCCAACAAACAAAAAGTGGAATTGCTGCAAAAAATGGATAAAGACATGAACAATGTGACAGAGAGGTTAGTGAAAACGAAAAAATTTCGATTGACAAGTTAGTTGGTATTCTCGGCACAGCAATTACGGGACTTGAACAGCGGAACTTTGTAACTGAACAAGAAATTATGTCTGTTTATAGAATTAAAGAGAAAGTATTATCACATAAAACGAAGCAACTTAAACAACTTACATTGAAAGAAATGTTTAATAAAGTAAACAAGTAAATATTAAGCTTTTTTTTTTTTTTTTTTTTTTGTAAATTTTGATACACTTTAGATCATAATTGTTCTTTATTTCATAAATTACGATTTCATATTTTTAATTTTAGAATTTCTTCATGCCATCTTACGAGATTTAAACTGATCTACAATCCGGAAAAATCGATAATCCGGAATCGCCGAAGTCCCGACGAGTCCGGATTAACGACTTTTGACTGTATTACATTAAGTTTTCGGTTAGAGTTGACTTTAAGGTACCCCTTGTATTATCGCGAAGTTGTTGTTTCGTTTATCTCCAAGGTGTTGTATCATTTATGGTAACCTGAGTAGTTGAATGTTATGGAAACCCTATTATGACGTAATTGTTTGCATTATTTTGGGAAGTTTTTAATCATGGGATGTTTTGCGAGGGCTTTTGTGGTGTGTGTTGCTTAGGAAGTACATTGCTTGTTTCATTGTTTAGATGGTACAATGGCTGAATGTAGTAGGATTAATTTGAAGTTTCTGTACGATTTGGAACGAAAGAGGAAAAGTGCATTAATTGATGAATTAATTGTGCAAATGAAGGTTTACTTGGTAGCCATAGTCTGGAACTACAGAGTATATATTTGACTCTTATTTTTGTGAATTTCTGTGACGACATCAAATATACGGATTGTAGTTGCAGATAATCTTAGGAAGTTTATGGATACTATTAAGGAATTTTGTGTGCCACAGACTGAAGATGAACGAATTTCCAAAAAAGTAAGGGATATTTGCTTTGTGTAGTGCTAAAATACATATGTAACAGGTTTTTCCTTTTTTATGTTATTTTATTGTTTGGTTTAAAATGCAGCTTATTGAGATTATGTATTTTTTGTTTGCCTCTACTATAGAATTGAGTGCTCCTTTAACTTTTTAAGTGAAAATATATCGATGTGTACATGGACAAACTCAAGGGAGTGTGTAAAGCATAGTTTGTGCAATTCTCTTATGTTTTTTAAGTGAAAATAGGTCAATGTGTACATGGATAAAGGGAGTGCACAATGCCATTTTTGTGCAATTTGTGGATTTTTTTTATAAGTGAAAATAGGTTGATGTGTACATGGATACCGAGTTTGTGCAACAAAATAACAAGTTCTTTGACTTGTTATTTTGTTTGCATGCAAAAATTGCGTAGTGGCAGTTTTTGCACCGAAAATCGCCGTTACGCAGGCCAAAATAACAAGTCAAAGAATTGCACAAACTCGGTGTCCATGTACCGCCAAAAATCGCCAAGTTTCTCCAAGGGGGTGCCCTAAAATATACTTTTACGAAGAATTCTTTCTTTTGCCAAGTACCTTTAAATTGTTTCCATTTCTTATTAACCCTCTCGCTGCGCATCCCGCGATTTCCACGGGCAACGTAAAAGTAGCAAAATTTGCTGCGATTTCCGCGCGGATGCATTTTTACCGTCTATTTTAACTGTGCAACCCTCTCTTTTCCCGTTCAAGGTTTCCTTTCGGCTTTTCTGTGATGTTTAATTGTTTATTCAGATGGGGGCTAACAGATGGCGTTAGTTGTCCATATTTCTGTCAAATATACAAGCATACGTAATGTAACATTTTGCGCGTGCTTTTCAGAGCTCAAAGATCTGGTAGGAAGTGTTTCGCGAGTGATATAACCTATATTCCTGACGATATTTCCGACACTGAGAGTAGTTCTGACTCTTATTTCAAGTATATTGAAGATAGTTATAGCGAAACTGATAAAAATATCTCAGATTCCTAGATTGTGAAATGAATCTGAAAATTCAGTTTCTATTGAAAACGTTCAACAGCAGTGCAAAATTGTTATGCAAAATATTACATTATGCAAATATTGTCATTAGTATATATGTTTTACCTTTGTATTTTATAAAATAAATCATTATTCTTCAATTTTAGTATTCTGAAAAACTTTTTCTATGATCTAATTTTATATTGAAAAAAAAAAAAAAAAACTCTTTTACTAAAATTTTTTGTATATTTTCACTCTAAAATATATGTAGATTTGAAATATGTAATAAACAAAATATGCAATTTTTGAACCTATTTTGAATAAAAAAGTATGCAGTGAGAGGGTTAAAGAAATAATCACATACTTTCTTTAAAAAAAATATAAAAAATAAAATTATAACTCCTGTTTTATACCACTTTCTGTAATTGATGACACTTCTTTCTTTTTTTTCTTTTTTTTTCTTTTTTTTTTTTTTTAAATTGATGTCTGTTCCATTGTGTTGGTATTTTTCTTCTGACTATTAGCTGTAATTAAATTGTGCATCCATTAAATTCTAAGCAATATTTTAGTAGGTATTTGCAGAATGAAGTAAACTTTTCATTGATCTTAATAAGTATTTTGTAGTAGCATGAATTAAAATTTATTAGTAGTAAATATTAAGAGTTGCTGCATAAAATGAACTTGCTCATTGTAATTTTTCATTAGTGTTTCATAGATGGTTACTAAAGCATTAGGCTTTTTTCCCCGTTAAAGCCATGTCTGCATTTCGATGACAGACTGCCATTTTCCCTTCTTTCTTTCCACAGGCCTTTAGACCAATATTAGGTGTTTTTTCCCCAAAATTTGTAGAAAATTTAGGAAGAAAAACACCTAATATTTTAATTATTATTTATTTGAATTTTCTCTTCTTTTTTATAAATTTCTGTCTGTGTATTCTTCCCTTATAGATTTCTGTTAGTTTCATCACTCGAAACAATCAAAAAAGGAGAAGCATGAAATAAAAGCAAATACAGAAGGGGGGGGGAACTATTTATTACTTCTTAAATGACTAAATAAAATAATCTAAGCTGAAATAAAAAGTATGTAATTAATAAGCATGTCAATAAAAAAAAAGCCCTATAAGATTAAAATCAGCTTAAAATTACAAATAAACATGATTTCAGGAGTAATATTAATAAAGAAATATTTTATATTGCCTGTAAAAGTAAAGCCAAACTCATACTAACATTACAAAATATATGCAAAGCAGTATAGCTTTGACTGAAAAATACTGAAAATTTTATGTATATTCTAAGCTGCATTCTAGTTTGCATAGTTTATTTTTCTTTATATCCAGTCTTCATGATATCGGGCAAAATATTTTCAAGATATACTATTCCTATCTTATTTATTTATATGTATAGTAGTAGTTACTTTTGGTGTATATTTACTTTGATATTTAAATTATTCTCTATAGTTTTTGTTCTTTAAATGTTGGTATTTATTAGTTTTTTTGATTTGATATTTAGTATTGTTGGCAAAATGAACAGAAATTATGTATATTGGGATAAATATTAAATATAAATGTCTTCTGTATGCATAACAGAAATGCATACTGTGTTCTAGAGAAAAACTTGTTGTTTTTTAACTGTAAACCTTTACGTGCACATTTCTAAATTTAAATGTGTGTTTTGAGATATTTTAGCATGAATTTAAATGTTTTATTAAAGTTAGACAGTGTCTGTATGCATTTTGATTTTCTGGCACAGAACACAAATTTCTGTATGTTTAATTATTTCCTTTGTCTTATTATAGAAAGTATGGATGAATCTCTTCCATCCAATGAAAATTCAAAACCGGATGCTATTCCCCCTGATCAAACAGAACATGATGATGATAGAGCTCACTCAGCATCTCCAGAAAGGCAGCAAGTAGAAACTGAAAATGTTATTTCTCCTGTTTTAAATGAAGTGGCAATAGACAACAGGCATGGTAATTCTGTTGATGAAGGTATGGATACGGAAGAAAGACCAGTAAATCGAGATATTAACGAGGGCTTCCTAGATGCCGAAGAAGTTATGATTCAGCGCCATGCTATGCTTTCTTCAGATATGATAAGCCAGGAAAATGAATCTTCTTTTAGCTGTAAGTATCCAGGCTGTAATTTCACATGTACTGATGTCGAATTGTACCTGAAACATGAAGATACGCATGTTGATGGAGGAACTGTTGTGTGCGATGTTTGCAATATGCGATTTGCAACTTATGCCAATATGAGACGTCATCGACTGCTTCATTTGGGAGTTCGGCCATTTGAATGTCAAACTTGCTCAAAGCGTTTCTTGCGTAAAGATCAGTTCACAGAACATTTGTCGAAGCATTCTAAACAGCGGCCATATCGTTGTCCTTTCTGCAGTCGAAGTTTTAGTTTTCGTCCTCACTTGAAATCGCATCTTTCTAGCGAACATGCTAATATTGTTCTTGATAAAACTTGCCGTTTGTGTGATTTTAAAGCCTCTTCTCCCAGTGGTGCTAAGGTGCATTTTGCTATGTGTCATCTAAAGCAGACCTTGGAGGCCTCTGATGTTGAATCTGATCGATCTCATGAACTTATTGGAAGTTCACAAGCTCATGCAAGCCAGACTGAAAATGGTGCCATAGATCTTGCTACTGTGTCTCAGAATTTTTCTTTTATGGCTGCTACTTATCCTCCATTTCCAGCGACAGCTAGTGATAACAGTGTGGTTGTTCCTGGGCCTTCTGACTTAAGTCGTACATCATCAAAAGTGATACGAATGCCTACTCCCGTTTCAGGACCCCGTGGTTTGATTCATCACAACATTGAACAAAATATGGTAATGCCCATGCAGGAGGAAGAAAAGAGGCATACTTGCGTAAGTTCCTTAGCTGGTTCTACAACTGTAGTTAGTCCAACTACGTGCCAAGACAGGCCATGTTGTAGACCTGAGGTACAGCGTGTTGACTTTCAGTCTCGAGATAGGGTGTGTGTTAAACCAGAACCACCTGAACTTTCAGTTGATGATAGCCAAAACAGTAATGTTCAGCCAACAAGTACAATGGATCTTTCTACTACAGATGTTGTAGAAACTACTTGTGTTTCAGCTGAAGCTTCTGGTTCATCGGAAATACCATGTCGACGGAAATCTCATAAACATTCATCAGGTGAGGACACTGGTTCAGAGAATCATAGTTCGCCATCAAATAGAAATTGCCTAGATTCGCAGAGTGTACTTCAGCCAAGAATTGCTCATACTTGTTACAGGTTGCGACAGTGTGAAGATAGCGGTAGCCAGCGTTGTAGGGAATATTCTAGACATACCTGCGTATCACATCGTCATAATCAAGCAGAAAAGAGACCTAGATTTTCTGAAAGTGATGGTGACAGGAATATTCAAAATGATCATTCAGACGGTGAAGAACGTAAAGTATTTTATAATCGTGCTACATCCACTAATTCATTAATTCCAACTGAAATTCATGCTCCCAGAATTCTTCGTCATGCTTCATCTACATTGCACAATGATAGCGGTGCTTGTGCATCTGAATCTCGTGCCGAGTCTAATTATTTTGGACGTAAAAGTACCATTGTAATACGTGATATAGAGAGTTGCACACTTACATGCCCTTATTGTGGTATAATTTTTCCAGATCAAACTTTGTATTTTTTGCATCGCAGTTTGCACTCGGAGGCAAGCCCTTGGAAGTGTAATTTGTGTGGCAAAAGTTGTAAAGATAAGTATGATTTTAATTCACATGTTATAAGTAAAGGGCATTATTAACTTCAGACCAAACTGTACATACTGTTTATTATAGCTCAATAATTCATAAATCCATAGCTATAAGTTAATCATTTCTTGTTCAAGTTGCTATGTTACAAATGTCCCCGTTTTATCATTCTCACATACTTCCAAACACCTTAAACATTTAATGTGCTATTAATTCTTTTAGTAATCATACTGATTGATACGCACATAATAATTACTTAATTTTTGAAAAATCTTACTTGAATTTTCTACGTAAAGTTTAATAAAACTTTGCTATTCTTGATTCTTAGCATTTAAGACATAAATTTTCCATTTAGGATATTGTAATCTGTGTATTGACAGAAAGCATATGTCTGAGACTTCGTTTTATGACTTAGTTTAATGATAGCATGAGTTTTAAAAGAGGTGCTATTATTAAGGCTGCTTTGCAACAGCAGCACTTCCATATATATGTGGTTTTAAAACTAAAAATATGTGCAGTGGTATATGTGCAATATTGGACAGATTTTGCTTATGTTCCAAATTCTGTTCTTGGGACCATTGCACTAGGCATCTTTTTAGTGTTTACTGTTTGCTAAAAATACCTAGCAACAAAAGAATAAAAAGCATACATTATTACTTGAGAACCTTAATTACCTTTCTCTTTAATGTCTGCAGAAAATGAGTATTTACTGCAATTTTAAAAATATAAAATTAATTCAAGCTCAACTTTTTATGGGGTGATGTGATAGGTAAATTAATTTTTTTTTTTTTAATTCTATGTGAATTTTTAAAAATATTGATAAATAGTAAGGTTTATAATGAAATTCATTTAAAATAAAATTTAAGAATGTGACTTGGGTAACTGTATTAAAATAATTTATCTTGCATATATTTAAGTCATAATTCTATTACTGTAAATCACAAATCAATTGGAGTGAAATCAAAGGTTGTGTGGATTTTAATAGGTTTTAAAGGAGGGGTCAAAATAAATTTTTAGAAAATGAAGAAAGGCACAAAAGGCAGTTGATTCCTTTTTGATATTTTTAGTGAAAATGAGCCATGTTAAAAGGAAATAAAGATGACAGTATGAAAAATTATCCAACACCCTCCCACTCTATATATTGTAGTAGTTTATTTTAAAACTTAGGAGTTTTAGAGGTGTGTTTTCTTTTCATGTTACTTACAGCCATTACTTCTACAGCTGTTATAAAAATTTAAAATTTTCTTTTTGTTTTCCAATCAATGCCAAACTTTTATGATCAGAATTTTCTTGTATTTGAAGCATTCAGTGATTTGTTAATGGTCTTAATTTAAATTTGTGTTACCTTTATGAAATTTTATTTCTTTTATGTAAGGAAAAAATTATCAATCTTTCTTGGACACGCTCATTAAATTAAAAAAAATTGACCGGTATTTTATTCATTTTCAATAAAAAATAGATGTGGCTATCGTTTGTTGTCAAGACTGACTTTGACTTGGAAGCAGTTTTTTATTTTGTATTTTTGCTATCTTATTAACAGCAGATTTCACTGTTTGTATTTATAAGGCTGTGTGAATTATAGATTGGCAGATTTTCTGCATGTATGAAAAAGTCATAGGCATGATAGTCAGTGTTCGGTTATTTAAATACTTACTGTCTGTTAAGAAAAGTTGTTGCATATATATGCTGTAAATTTCCAAAAGATGTAATCCTTTCATAATGCTAAATGCTATTTTAGTTTTAATTATGCAAATTTAATTGTTATTATTGGTAGAAAACAAATATTTTGTTTGTGCATATTTTAAAACAAATACCGTGTTATGTATCAAAATATTGCATGCAGCAGTTACATTCGTGTCCCTGTATTTTAACTTCACTAGTCTTATTAGTCACAGCCCAAAATTTTTTTGGAAATATGGTAATTGGTTATTGGGGTTAAGAACCATAGCCAAGGGAAAAGGTCATTATGTAATGAACTGCTATAGTCCAAATCAGTATTCTAATTATTTCATAATTATTTTATAGGTCTAACTTTTTTTTATAGCTGCATAGTGTGAAAAGTAGATATACCTCTGGAACTGCACAGAAAGTAATTTGCGTAGATGAAATGTTGTCCCAAAAGTACACAATATTGGGTACTTTTCCATTTTGCCGGCGCAAGCAATAAAGTCGCCAAAAATGGTACAACCGATACCAAACGGAATATCCTCTCTGGTAACCTTTTACCCCTCATTTTCAGTAAGTCGCAGTAATTTCTTATCAGATTGTTTCTCTCAGTACTGGTGTACAATTACATAGAATTTTTACCAGATACTTCAATTTTTTGCCCTAAGGCCATTCGTGGTAATTAAGTCAATTAGGATGCAATCACACCGCTCACCCGAAGGCTAAAATATAGGAAAGGCAAAGTCAAGGGTTAAATTCATCCATTCTAATGAGAATGCTCTAGCGCAGTAAAGCACTGCGGTTTTACATAATTTCTGAGTAAGTTGTTGGTACGAATTGAAATAATTCTTGCGTTTAATAATTCTTCTTAATTAATAATTCTTGTATTTCAAATAAAGATTTTAACTTCAAATTATTGTAAATAATTACTGAGACAATTAGATTTTTGTAGTGTAGTTTACGTGAAATGAGATCACTTGGGGTCACGTGATATGAAACGGCGAATCAGAATGTTGTACCATGAAAGCATAGTGAGTTCTTAAATTAATGTCTTTTTACAAAATTTTAAACGATATTAAAATGCTTATGCCTTCAAAATAAAAATTTCTTAGAATTAACACTTGCGAACATCTTTTTATGTGCATACTGTGTGTCGTCGCCAATAAAGTCTGCTTGGCAAGATTTGCGTTGGTGAAACGGAAAAGTACCCAATATTGTTTTCCTGCGACAGTCCTGAATTTCGGTTAAATATGCATGGGTTGATCTTTGGATTATGGTAACTTGGCGATTTTTTGGCGAAAATTTGGCGACCAACTCTACTGCAGCAACCTTCTACTTTTTTTTTTTTTTTCGGCGCCATTTTGTCTTCACGAAGTAAAGACATGTTTCTTTTCTTTTTATTTACTGAACACTTTTTCCAACAATCTGCTAGCCGAATTACAGTTATGCTAGAAATTTTATGGAACAAAACTGCTTAATCATGATAAATATTAACTGCAAAATTGGTAAAAAGTGCAGAATCGCAAATTCCTTGCCACGTTTTTCAGAATCGCACATACACAGTAACCATGCACACGTCGACTTATTTTTACTTAAAAAAACATCCCAGAGTTGCACAAAAATGGCATTGCGCACACTCTTGACTTTATCCATGTACACTGCTTTTTTCTCATAAATTAGAAAAATTTGCAGGAAAATTTTGTGAATTTTTAAACTCGGTAAAAAGCACATATATGAAATTACCTGATCGCGAAAAAGTATATACCCTTTCCAAGGATGAACATTTGCACGTATAAAATAAATAAAATATCCCAAAACTTTTCCCTCTAAATTATCTATTATAAACGTCACCTGCAAATTTATAACGCTAACATTAAAAATGGTTCCAAATACTTAGTGTCAAATATTTAAATTCTTTCCATGCACATTTACTTCTACTCAAACGTATTCCAAAATACTATAAACATATAACTCACAAAATCACGATCATTAAATTAAAATATAATTAAATTAAAAAAACACTACTTAAAATATAAATAAGCACATACATTAAATTAATAAAAATTAGCTTACAATCCTAATTACTTTAAACTAATTCATTGCTAATAACAATTTCCCAATAATACCATATTAATTTATATATTCCTTACATTTATTCCTTGCATGCATAAAAATAATATCCTCAAATGATTAAAAATACTAACTTACCTAATCTTCTTCACAATCTTGATTGCATGGCGGATAAACTTATAGATTCAATAATCCAGTAGTCAACTGGCAGTCTATTCACCCACTAATAAGAAATTAATAAAATTTCACCCATACTCAAACGACTTTCAGCAAACCACGTACCCGTACCCTTCCTTACGCTCCGTTGGCGCATATAACCTTTCTGGTTATGTGCCATTAACTCAACTACTGTCACTATCCTTACACTCCGTTTCACACAATCTCATTTCATTCCCACATGTTGGACATTCATACTTATCCGCAATTAATCCTACACTCATACACCATTCAAGCAATTCTTTTGGATTACACATAAACACAATAAAAATTTCGGATTTACTTTATATAGGGCCACGGGATCCAAATATTAAGCAACACTGTTTCACAGAACATAGAATGAAGCTCATGCTATAAAGTCATGGACGTCCATGTATAAAGTACGGCAGATATTTTTACAAATTTACCCCCTTTTCCAATTAAAGAACTGTGATTTGTTCATAAATGTCACATGACATATCTCATGATCTCTCATTTCCCTCACACATTGCGTAATCGGAACTGAGTACTTCTCACATTATTCCCAAAGTCTTAGGTAGTAACCTTTATCGCCTACCAAAATGTCGCCAAACTACCTGTTACCATATTCCAAAGATTAGCCTATGCATGCAAAATTTGAACTGATGTTTCAGAGCTTTGGCAATATTGATATTATAATACAAAAATGAAAAGCACAATTTTTTGTGTTCTACGTTGGGAAGTGTACATGGAAATGTAACACTTTTTTTTGTAAAGGTTTTAAAGTATCAAAATACTTTACTTTAGAGGAAGTGCTTTGTAATGTCTATGTATACAGTGCAGCATGTAATACACTTACATTTTTAATTTGTTACACTTTAGTGTCTGACTACATAATTTATCAGTTAAACATTACTGCATTTGTGCATATTACACAATTATTACATTACATAGTATTCACTTTTATCTGTGGTTTTTTATGTTATGTGTTGTAGATCTTGGAATGTATTATTTGCAGTTGTGGATGTACTACTATGTAAATTTATACATGAAATATATATTCTGTGAAATATGTATTAATTATAAATATCAACTTTTTATGATTTGTAATATTTTGATTCAGTTTTTAAGCAGCTGATATAACTTTGTGTAGAAGTACAGAGATTTAACTTCTCATTACACCTACCTTTCTAAGAGGACCATCATTAAAAGTGACCGGTAATTTTTAGAACATAGTCAACTAAAGCTATTAAATATCATCAACATTCAAGTACTCTAATGTGGGACCACATCTAAGAAAACTAAAATTTTGTAGTCATCTTAGAAAGGCACCGCTATATATCCTAAATCAAATTGAAAACTTGTCCGTTTGTAATGAATAATAGCTAATGTTTAAGTGTAATTATTGAAGATATTTTTTATTTGCAAATGAAATTTTGCCTTGCTTTATGTTTGTGTAAAACGGAGAAATATAATCCCAAAAAGTTATGTTAAAAAATATAAAGTGAATGTTGCTGCTTTTCAAAATATTTCTCTGTTGGCAATTCAGGCAATTTTCAGTACATGAATTATTCTTAAAATAAATCTGTAATGTTAAAGGTATTATTTATTGATGATTTTTATATGTAACAATTTAATTATTTCCACTTAAACAATGTATTTTCCTTAAATTTCAGTGCAACAAGTATTTTAATTTCCTACTGACAAACTACTAAAAGTTATATTGACTTTAAAAATGAGTTCGGAAAATTTAAAAATGAGTTCTCAAACCTCAAATAGCTTTGTCACCATCAGTTTTTGCACTTACAGTCTGCTACAAGACATGAAAACATGCAAAATATTTGATAATGATCCAAGTAATGTACTATGTACCTGTAAATTAGAAAAACCATTAACTATCATTTTAAAATAAAAAATTTAGTTTTCAATTAATATAGTTTTATAGAAATATCATTTATTAAGAGAACTGATTCCTATGAAATGCAATCCCCCATCCATGCCTAGAAAATCAGCATTGATCTGAGATTGAATTCTGGTTAAACTTCAGTCTGCTGTGTATCTTTTCCTGGAGGTCATCAGTTAAGATATTTTACTGGGTAAAAACTGTTATGTGCATTTTGGGGTTCTAATAACAGAAATCTAAATTAAATGAAATCTGGAAAATAATTATCTTTGAAGATGAATTTTTACTTAACTGCATTATACATGGCACTGTTCTATTATCGAGACCGAATTCAGAAATATATTGTTGCATGCATATGGGTTCGTAATAGATTGATTGCAAATCCATTAAATTTTATTCTTATCAAAAGAAATGTAACAAAATGCTAGAATTTTCCTCAGAGATATTCGTACACTTGTTCAAAATATCATGCAGTAATAATCAGTAGTTTTGATCAGTCTTTTGTTCATTCTAATCAAAAGAAATAGACCAGAACTCTGGAATTTTGCTCGGAGATTTTCATACAAGTGTTCACAATATCACACAATATAATCAGTAGTTATACTTCAAACTACTAAAAAGTTACATACAATGCAATACAGAGTGCATTTAAAGAGAAGCTAATCTCTGTACTTACCAGGGCTGTGGAGGAAAATGACCGACTCCGACTCCTGGAATTTTAATGACTCCGACTCAACTGCCTCATTTATATATATATATGTAAACATGCATGCAGCATGGGTTACAGCTTATTTTTTTAATATAAAAGAAGTAATAGATACTGCAGAAAAAAATAATGGCATAGCAAATTATTTATATTAATTAGCATTTATTATGAAATAAAAAAACTGGCATTAGTTATTTCTAAGAAACAGTATAGCTTTGGCAAGATCTTCTTTGCTGGAGGGCCATAGATCCGGTTTGATAAACTTCAGAGCCGAGAAAAGTCTTTCCACACTAACTTGAGTAGGAGGAAGAGCTATTACTGTTAGGGCTGCTACTTTTAACGATAGATTTTTATAAGTTCTAAAAGAGATGCCTTGCAAGCACAATCATATTTCTCTATTTCTTCAAAGGCCGTGTGGAAATCTTGTTTGTATTTTTTCATTGTTATATCTAAAGGCTCTTGTTTCTTTATTTTCATTCGCTTTGCCTTAGCCTTTTCAATATTATCCAAAAAATATTTCTCAAAATCTAATTCATCACTGGAAAAGGATGATAGAGAGACCATTGCAATGTCTGCAGTTTGACTGTCCTGACTTGAATTCTCCAATTGTTCTGAGAATAATTTCATTGTTAATGAAAGTTCATAGGTGACTTTCTTTGCCTTTTTAATTTGTTCGTCATCCAAGAAAATTCGGTGTTTCAGATCTACGTATATTGAACCTAGCAAGATCTTATTGTCTAGCAAAGTAGTTTCTCTTTTCTTTATTGAAGAAATGATTCCTTCTGCAATAAACCCTCCATTTCAGAAAGAACAAACATCCCATTCTTTCATTCTTGCCTCCTGTCAATTCTTCCGA